CCTTTGGAGATAGAGACAACTGATTACTTTCATGGTAAGTAAAATTACCATTAATTATCATTAATTCTTCATGGTCAGCAAAAGCAAAAGTAGCTGAAAGTACCAGCACATCATGGTTCTTGTCCTACACACCGAAAAACGATGACATCCTGCCAAAGAGGCCAGAGAATGCAACACCAGTTAAGAACATTTCAGTACCGAGGAGCCATTTCTAGACCACAGTCACATGGTTTTATGGTCTGCAATTCTATTCTCAAGGGTTCTAGGCAGGAGAACTCAGGAGGCGATAAGAAGCTGTCTATGACAGCCTCGCATCGTTTTATGTTCTGGAAGGATCATGAGGTATTCTTCTGAGACTCACATTAGCTCTGGTTTAAAACTTGGCCTGAATGGCCTATATGGATATGTGCATGGCCACCATGACACCATGGTGGAAACTTTTTTGTATACTTCTACCAACTTTTTTTTCTTTATGTATCACATACTTCCATAACAAGCCATTCTCAAGTTTACACATATAACTTGCTGTCTTGCCTTTGTTCCTGCTGTTATCAGAGTAGAGCTTTTCCTTTCCTTTTCCTTCGATGTTTTATTCAATGTTTTTAGGGCTCAGGAAAAATTCTACTTCCTCTAAGACATCTGCCTGATCCTCTCAATTAAATATACTTTCTTTTTCATTTATAATGCCACTCATATCTTGCCACGTTGTACTTCGTATTACTAGTATTCAAGTTCCTTATACTCTAATTGACTTTAAAATTTCTGACCATGTCTAAGTCAGTTTCATTTCCTTTTGGGACTAACACATTTTCTCAGTTATCACATTTCTTAATAAATATTTATTCTGTGAATGAATCAATAATATCAAGGACTCTTAAGACCAATATGAGAGCCACAAAAAAATTGAGTAGGTATTTAATTTTTCACATCCCAGGCAGGGAAGAATTTTTAAAATTATTATTAGAAGTTATATTCGAATGAGGTTTTTAGGTCGGAGAAATCATAACCAAAAACTGACAATTTCATCATAGGTATATTTTGATCACTAGCTCCTACCTGGGTTGCAGTAGCAGATCCAGGTAGATCCCATTCACTTAATCTTAGCTTCATTATGAATTCTTAGGGCCTGGAAAGCCTTTGAGTTTTTTTGCAATACAATTTATCTTCTGAAGGACACAGTTCCATTGAGAATGAACCAGGTTACATTTCTCATTTATTATAGCTAGAACAAGAGTGAGGAGATCTGAATGCATGTGAGAATTAATTCTAGGTTCTAGAGCTTCAGAATTGAGATCTGAAGAGAGATTATGTTGAAAAACATAGCAAAATATCTGTTATTGTAACTGAGTAAAGGTGTCAATGCTGCAAGTTACACAAAGAAAATGGAGTACTTCATCACCTCCATTATTAGACTATATAGAATTAATTTTTCCTTTCAATATAACTGATATTTATTTTTCTCTGGCATATATTAGGAATATAATAGACCATACCTGATACAGTAGTCCCCCTTTCTGCGTGGCTTCATTTGTGTCAGTTTCAATCCCTTGGGGCCAACTACCACCTAGAAGCAAATGATCCTGCTTCTGACACAAGGCTAGAAGGTCCATAGCAGTCTCAAGTTAGTCATAATGTCATCACATAGGCATTTTATCATTTCACATTATCCAAGAAGGGGAACACAGTGTAGTAAGATATTTTAAGAGAGACCATATTCACATGACTTTATTAGAGTGCACTGTTATAATTTTTCTATTTTATTATTATTATTACTAATCGTTTGCTGTGCCTAATTTATAAATTAAATTTTATCATAGGTATGCATGTAGAGGGAAAAAAACAGTATATATGGGGTTTGGTACTATCTGCAGTTTCAGGCATCCAGTGGGAGTCTGGAATGTATCCCCCTTGGATGAGGGAGACTACTGTGCATTGCCGGTGATGAGTGAATGATGAATTGAACAGATTGCAAACACATCACTTCTTTTAAATCACAGCTGCTGTGAGCCTTGATATTCTTAATAAAAGACTGTTGTTCAGATTATTGGGCATATGGTCTTTAGGGAAGTATATTCACTTACTAAGCCTTTATAATATTTTTAAGCTGTTTCAGCAGAATGTTGAGAAGGTATAATGAAATTTAATAGCCTGAGTATTAACGGCTGGTACTAATAGCTTTTCAGGGTCAGTATGTGATCTTTCAGTTCCAAGCATTATGTTTTTTGTTGCTCAGGTGTTTTAGTTGTAGAAGTCTGCTGTTCTGTTGACTCCTAGCCCTAAAACACTATTTTATAATGGCATTTTAGGTTAATTTCACTATAGCTCCCAATTTTTAAAACAAATGTAGTTAACTTTTGAACGACCTACTTGGTTAAATCAAGGCTGGTTATCTTGCTACATTTCTTCTTCATGAAGTATTTTACTTTATCTGAATAAGTTTTATACTTATCTGATCCTGGGCTTCAAATTTTTTTTATCTTTCATATCAGTATAATTGATATTTAATACATTATATTACCAACTTCTATTATTAAGGAAAAAGAATGCAGATTAAAACAATAAACATGTCACAGATACACATATTGTATTTAGTTTTCGACACCTACTCCATGCCAGCATCTAGTCAGAGAATAGGGGTGGTGGTGGAAATAATCTTTTCATCTGTCATCTCTCTGTCTCTCCCACCAGTCTTCCCAAACTTTATTTTCAATTGTATTCCTTTAAAATTTTTTTTTAAATTTTATTTTATTTTTGAGAGAGAGAGAAACAAAGCACAAGTAGGCCAGTGGCAGAGAGAGAGAGAGAGACAGAGACAGAGACAGAGACAGAGACAGAGAATCAAAGCAGCCTCCAGGCTCTCTGACGTGAGGCTCGAACTCACAAACCAAGAGATCATGACCTGAGCCAAAGTCAGACTCAACCGACTGAACCACCAACATGCCCTATTCAGTTGTATTCCTGAATAACCATTTGCCCACAATAATCTTCCTGTGTTTTTCATATTGGCTGTATTCTAGGCTGAAAAGTTTACTCTGAGAGTCACATGACCTTTTGGGCAGGAAGAAATCCTACTTCAGTATACTGAAGCCAAACGAATTCATAATGATCATTGAAATTTTCACTTCATAGTTTCAGCTGATGTGTTATACAAATCCCTGTCTGTATTACTCATGAAATGTTAGACATATGAGTAAGATATTTATCATATTCTTATATGAAATTATTTAATATTTTCTATATATTTGTGTTACTTTTTTATCTTATTAGAGTAATTACTCAGGAAGGAAATGAATGAGAAATTGCTTATAAAACACATTTAAATAGCAAATTTAACCTACTCAATTATAGTTCCAGATGAGAAACTAAATATCAAGAAAAATATTTTTTGAGTGTGTGGGAAGGATATTAAGAAAAATCTAGTCTAATATTCTTTATACTGTGCCATGCTGGGCATAATAGTGCTTAATAGATGTTTACTCAATACGTAAATGTTCTGTTCCAAGGACTTACTATTTTTCAAAATAAGGTTTGTTTGTTTTTCCTTTGTACATGAAACATATCCCTATTACAGAAAAATTAGAAATTCACAGAGAAAGAGTTGCAAAAATATTATTTTAATGACTGTGTGTTTTTCTGTTATGTTGATATCCTATGAACTCTTTAACAGTTCCGCTACTGTTCAGAGGGTTACTATTACCATTATTTAGAGATATAAAACAATGTCATGGAAAGTCTCTTCCTATATATATTTTTATAACAATTTTCAATTTTTCTCTTTGAATTTCTGGTAGTGAACTTACTATATCAAAAGCATATACTCATTTTTATGACTTTCTAGTTCTTTCTCCAGTTGCTTTCCTAAAATGTGTTTCTAGCTTATACTTGTATGAAAGTGAGTTTTGACTTTTACAACACTATTACTGTCATTGGTTATCATTTTTTTAAACAACTCAGTTGATGCTCTAACTGCTTTTTGTGGACAAACTCCTATTCATTGTCATCTTCAAACATTTTAGCTCCATTACTTCATTATGAAAATAAAATCAGAGAACTAACCATCCCTATATGACATATAAGCCATTAACTTACATATTATTAGTGAATGTCTACTATCCTTAGTTCTAAAGTATATAATTATCATCCAGAAAACCATTATCTACCTTTTCCAATGTTCAAGTTATAGTTTCTTATTACATTTCTAATTTCAGTAATATCCAGAAAATTTCAAAGCTAATGTACGGAAGAGGTAAAGAAAAAGAAACCAAAATATTTCTAATAAAAAATGTAAGATGCGTCTATACTAAAGTAAAATGGGATCAACACTTCTCATTTTTTTTTCAAGTGATAGGTACAGAAAATTGCATGGTCTAAATACTAAAAAAGAATAAAATTTCTTAGACCTAAGCTGAATACACAAAAGAAATAAAACAGATGTCTGTTGGCTATTGAATACACATTACTACATGGCAGCTGCTAAGTATAATAATGTGTTCATCAGTAACTTATATGGCAACATCAACCTGTTTTGCTCCTTAGAAATAATTGAATATTTGTATTGTAAATATATTGATTGTTCAGAGAGTGCAAAACAGGTCTGGGTGGCTCCAGATTGAACAATTGAAACTTCGGACTAAATTCATGGGCTTTAGCCCATCTTTATGAGAATAGACCATATATTTTCTCAGTTTGACTTTCTATGAAAACATTTTTAGCTTTGATAGGTACAATGTAATCTCCGTGGAAATCATATATGGATATTTTCTTTCATCTCTTTTTTTTGTAATCTTTGTATCTCAGAAAATTTCTTATATACTGTTTCACTGTAATACTCATCTTCTCAAAAACAGAGTAATTTCTCTTCAAGCCTCATATTCTAGAATACTATGCAATCGGTCCACTTTATTGAAGATTACTTCAGAGTGTTCGGCACTTTGCTGTAAACTAATACATTGTTGAATTATTTTATCATCTTTATCAATAATTTACCTTTGTGTTTTCAGATTCTAAGAAAACAAAAACAACTATAGAAGGTATTGGAAATATTTTCTTTTTCTGTCTTATACTTAATGAATCCCCAAATTGCATTTCTCCTTAAAGGACTATTGTAGAAGAAAAAGCTATATATAGAATAAAGGAGAGAAGGAGAGAGAAAGAGAAAGATTCAGAATGAGAGAAAGAGTCAAATCTTTTCTGACAATATTGCTATGAGAAATATTTAGCAAAGTAAAAAATAAATATTGTATATGTTTACCTTTCACAATAATTGTTTTCAAAGAAATGTTTGCTTGACAAGAAATTGAACAATGTTCAGTATCAAGCATTTATTTTACCAGAAAGCATAAATTCACTTAATCTAGGATACACCAGCATCAATTAGGAACTGAATCATTACTTTAAGTCTTGAATGGCATCATAACTCATCTGGCAAATGTACCTGTTTCTTTTGTATATGTTCATATGGGTTTACGTGTGCACCTGTGTATAAGAAGACTGCAAGGCATAAATCATTGAAAATGATTAAGCAATGTAGGTTAATTTATTGTCAAGCAATGTTTTGCTCTCAAATTATGGAAACATCTACAGTAATCGGCAATACCTCAGAGCAACACTGAAATTTAAGGGAAGAGAATGGGGAAGGGGATGGAAAAATTATAATCTAGTCAATATGTTCACAGAATAGTTTTATCTTTAAAAGTTTTAAGAGCAAATTGTTTTATTTTTATTTCTTTCAACAGAACAACCCAAAGGAAAAAGTAAGGAAATACATGCAAAGTATATTTGTGTGTATGTTTTTTCTCCTTACTACCATAATTGGCCTGCTGATAGACTTGCAGTTTTGAATCCCTGTTTTTATTCTATGCATGTGATCTCGATTTGTTGTTTTTCTGTCAAGATGAAAAAGTACACAACCTGAGGATCAAAGGGACCTAAAAACACAGCAATCATTCTCAAAGTCCTTTTTCAAATACATACAATCATCTAATAATATTATCTACAGCCTCATAACTAAAAATACAACTTCATTCCATTAACCAAAACTGTGAGTGTAAATAAAGTTCCTGTAATTTGGTTAGTTCTCAGTCCTTAAAAAAGACCAAATAGAAGTTATTTTTCAGGCTGGTTTCATAACCTCTTTCCCATTATCTTTCTTCTTGCAATCCATAAATATTTTGGTATGTTCATATGATATATATGACATTTTGTTCAAACATGGTTTCCCCCTTATAAGCACATGAGCTCTGTTTGTAATAACATTGCTTGGAAACCATACCTTAGGCAGCATCTACTGTTGCTTTAACACTGTATTAAAGCTGTTTGCCTTGAGGTTGTATTTTTTGCAAATATACACTCTCCTCTGAAGACATTAGGATATATTGAACTAATGGAAACAAAAACCCCAACCTGACCCTACTCGATCGGCCATTAAAAATCATCACATTCCCAGAAATGTAGAGCTTTTAAGGATCCCAGTGATATTTAAAAACATCTGGTTTAAAATACATACCATTTTTGAAAACTTTATGTTTTGGTCCTGCAAAAGCTTAGGACAGTGAGGCATTCTATATCATAAAAATGCTCTGAAATGTTCTGTGGGATGAATCATGAAGTTATAGTGCAACTCAGCCAGGGGGAGCAATCTATCTATAAAGAAGTATGTGTTCCTTCAGTTTCAGATTTATGTGTGTGCACTGTGCTGATGAGCCCGAGCACACGGATACAGAACACTCTATAAACCATTGCAGGACATTGAAGGACAACTGGAGATTTGAAAAATGATGTTAAATAATATATGCATACACATATAACCCGAAGGTCCTTGCTTTATTGCAGTTTGTATAATTTAAAAGACCCCACAGATACACTGCACCTCCTTAGCAATCTTGGGAGAGTTGGTAGCTTTAATTTAAGAAAAAATATGCCTTCCCAGCATTCATTTACACATCAGCTGCTTCCCTTATTGAGAAATTCAGTGGATTTTGACTTGGGCAGTAATAGGAAAAAGAAAAAGAATTTTCCTTTAAACAACTATTAATTATTACTAAATTAACTTATTTGTCCTGGTTTATCATCTAGATTTGCTTTTATTGTTGTTAATGTTGTATCTTTTAATTTGTTTGATTTCATTTTTTGTCTTTAAGATTACTTTATTCAATTACACATCTCTAACTCTTTTAGTTAGAGATGTTTTTACTTTTGCTTTTACTTTCCTAGTCATCACAATTAAGATGCTTGTTTTTTTTACTTAAAAAAAATCATGGTGGGGAAGCAGAGTGAAGAGTACATGGGACCTTCCTATACATAGTTTTGAAAATTCATGATCTATAATTTTTTCAGAATAAGAAGTAAAAAAAAATCAATCATAGATATGATTTGGCAGTCCCTGTTGAATTAAAGGGTAAACAAATTTATGTTTATTAAAGATCATTCAATAATTACCTCCTGAATTGTCCCATATAATAAATGCTCTCAATAGCATTTTTCTTCATGTTCCAAGTTAACACTGTATTTTTTTGCTTATATAATGGCTTTCTCGTGTTGATTGGAAGGTCCTTGTTTTAACTTTGAAATCTCACGTATCTCTGGGATTCAATTTTGATGCATATCCAGATTACTTCCACTATGTTTTTGACTGTCATCACTGCAAATTTCTTAGAAATGTTATGTGATTGGTGGTTTAGTCCTGTAGTAAATTAAGCAACACATTTAGTTACTCCATGTTTTTCAAACAACTTTTGGGAATGTTCTTACTGTGTTTAATTTTAGCTAAGTCCCTCAAGTGTCTGCTTTTTGACTTGTAACACTCGGTCAACTCACTTGTTTTATTTGTTTTGCTGCCTAGATGCAATGTTGTGAGTGGATAAATTGCTCATTATACTTAACATGACTACACTTTGATAAACAAATTATACACTTGAGCAGCTGATGAGATGACCAGAGAGATTTGATGGCACTCTATGCTTATAAAATATGGTTCTTAAAATTCTTTCACCATAAACATCTTCTAGTCTCCAAAATGTATTCATTGAATGCAACTTTAAGAAATCTTCACCTACCTGCTCTTTTAAAAATCCAGTAATAATACACCTATGTTAAAACACTTCTTGAAACTCTTCTTTTAAACTAATTTGACAAGCTTGTCAAGGCAAAAAAAATAGGATTATAGATAATAGCACCCCATGTAAAATTAGTACTTGCACTTTATATAAAATTAGTGCTTATTATATTATAAATGCCATCTTATTCTTGAGGCCAGAATAATGCTTTACCTCACACCAATATTAGCAAAACTGGATTCTTAAAAAAAAAACACTATCTAAAAAGGACTCTATATGGAGCATTTGTCCTAAAAACATGGGATGTGTGTTTTGCTTTCCCCTGAAAATTCAGTCTATTTTTAGTCTCCTCAGCAAAGCCTTTGCCTTAGCTAAATGAATATAAGATAAGAAGATTTCAACTTCAAAGAGGAAGTCCATATGAAATCTGTCCATCTTTATCTGAAAATTATTTTAAAACAGCTGCAATAATTATCTCCTGTGCTTATTTTTTACCCCAAATTTATTTCATGTTGATCTAATACAATAGGAAATTAATTATTTTCCAGCCTTTATAGACCCTATTTAATTTTCTTTGCTTTATAACCCACGAAAAATTTTAATTCCTCTTATATAGAATATTTCTATGCTGTTCTGTGCAGGAACTCCATGAGGGAAAGAGAAGGAAAGATTTAAGTAGACACTCTTAGTCTTTTCATGACAATTTTCAGGTGCTGAGTACAGCATTAGCACATACATGTTTCTTTGTGTTAAAACAATTAAATTATGACATATAAAATTGGAATAATAATAATGATGGTAATAATAATAACAACAATGATAATATGTTTCAGAACAGGAAAAGAAAGACAAACATGTGGAACCAGGTAACTGTTTTTAAATTCCTCTTACTTTCATGTTATTACTTAATTTACAATTGAATACTGAATTGCCATAGAATGGCTTGGAATTTTGATTTTTTTTTTTCTTGTTTGATACAGCAAAGTCATCAAAGAAGGAACACTCAGGTGAGTTAGTCTGATGTTGCTGGGTTCTCTCAACCTGATGTCCAATGGTTATTAATGCTGCAGCCTCAGACAAGTGGTAAGAACCATGGCAGGAAAGGATAGGAAATCCCTCCATCCCATAGTCCTTCTTTCAAGTTCTTGACATAGAGTTAGCACCAATGAAGTTTTAGAAAATGAAAGACAAATAATTTGTTCCACTCTTGCTACCCAGTGTATGTCTGTGAACCAGCAACACCAGGTTGTTAGCATCCTCCATCCTGGAGTGACTGAATCAGAATCTGCAGCTTCCTAAGTTCCCCAGTGAATTTTTCATAATAGTGTTTGAGAAGTAGTGTTTAGTGTAGAAAACAAAGCAAAACAAAACAAAACAAAAACCAAAACAACAGAAAAACCACTTTCTATAAGTGCATCCAATATTGCTTTACTTGTAAAATATGGAATATTCAATTCCAGCAAATATTCTCTCCCTATTCAAAATGTTGCTTAATGACATTTCTTGAGTACTCAGGGGAGCTGCAATGAAAGTAGAGATAGATTTTGCCCTCAATATATTTACATTCTAATGGGGGAAAATTGAATTGAAAATCAGACAATCAGTAAAACACACATACAAACAAACAATTCTAAAAATGCAGTAGGTATGAAATGCAGTAGGTATGAATATCAAATGGTTTTCTTAAAGGTTTGCAGCATTTAGCCTGCGGATTAGTTATTTTGAATGAAAATAAATGCAAGTTTCTAAACTTATTTTATTGACTTAATTTTGAAATATTACCTACTAATTTTGCAAATTTCTACTCAAGCAACTTCATTGAGTTTTCATGTGTGTGTGGGTGTGCATGTGTTTGTGTGTGTGTGTGTGCTTGTATTTTATTGTATTTAAATGGAAATAACATTTTATCGCACTTAAATGGAAATTAACATTTATTCAGTGTTATGTAAATAACCATACAAATATAGCACCACTATTTACTACCCCAACACAGACCACAGCAAAACACAGGTTCAAAGCTACATTTCTTATTCTTCTTCTAAGCTTGTAAAACCTCCCTAGACAACCCAAATCCATTTTGTTCTCCGTTGAACTAGCTTCCATAGCATCATCTTCTTTCCTTTATAATAGCACTTAATATATAGTCAGAAATTAGAGTGTCTATTTTAATGCCAAGCACACAGTAGGCACTTGATAATGGTTTATCGCATGAAATGAGAAACATCAAATAGAATAATCACATTAAAAATTAAATGGGAATGAGTTTTAAATAATTTTCAAGATGAAATGATCACACATTTTACCATTTCACATTAATGTTGATATTACTTATCCTTTAGGAAGGATTGTAGTGAGAAAGAATGAAATCATGCCATCTGCAACAACATGGATGGATCTGGAAGGTGTTATGCTGAGTGAAATAAGTCAGTCAGAGAAGGACAGATATCATATGTTTTCACTCATATGTGAATCTTGAGAAACTTAACAGAAGTCCATGGGAAGAGAAGGGGAAAAAATTAGTTACAGACTATAGGGAGGGAGGCAAACCACAAAAGACTCTTAAATACAGAGAACAAACTGAGTGTGGATGGGGGAGTGTGGGAGAGGGGAAAATGGGTGATGGGCATTGAGGAGGACACTTGTGGGGATGAGCACTGTATGTAAGCCAATTTGACAATAAATTATATTATCAATCAATAAAAATAAATAAAAAAAGAAAAAAGTAAATACATAAACATATCAACATGGAGAAACAGAGAATGACTATGGGTGTAATCAGTTTCAAGACTTTTAATAGCTAACCATTACTGTCAGCTATTAAACTTGGCAAAATACAATAACTTAAATTGCTTGAAATCATTATCTGTTCATTTCAGGGTATGATTACAGTGTAGCAGCTTTGCAGTAATTAGCTGTATTTTAAAAATCCAAACCATTGGATAATTTATCAATTCACTTTGTTCTTTTCATATAACTTTAAGAAAAATGCATTGGCTTGTATATAAAAACAATTAGATTCTTGGCTAATTTAAAATGCAAAACAAAATGAATAAATTGTGAATGATCATTCTGTGTTGGGAGAAGATATATAAGTGTAAAAAAAAATCTGTGGTTCATGGCGTATATTTATAATATATAGAAGAAAATGGGACAATGTTGCATTTTCTCCTTCTCAGACCTATGTCTTTCCTTAGTTTCCAAGGTTATAGTACAATTATTTTAAAATTTTTTAAACAATTTTAAAACTATTTTAGAGACAGTGGACTTGTAATTAATGTAGATTTTATTATTTCTTGCCTTTAACAGCTCCAAGTGAAAAGCAAATAAAAGCAAGTATGTTGAATAAAACTTAAAATAACAGAAAGAGCATATTTCAGTAGCTTACTAATTTAAGTTTTCTGCTTATAGACAATGCTAATGCTAATTTTTGAAGCTGGCTTACCAAATGTTTCTTGCTTTTAATATTTGTGCTGAAACAATATACATAATTATTCAAACTTCCTTTTCTGTGAATTTATTCTTCTTAAAATGTATTTTCATTTGTAAATGTTAATTTCTCCAGATCATAACTCTTTTTTGAGTAGTTTGTATTTGTGTTTCTTATTTTGCAGAATAAGTGATTTCTTCATTTTCTTAAACACATCAGATTTAATTTTTCTAATGATTAATCACTTGATCAAACCAGTAGGCAACATAATTTTTCTACCAGTGAAAGTCATAGTGTCTTGAATGAAGTGAAGTCCCCAACAACTTTAACTATCACTCTTATAATATCATAATTTCCTTTTATGGTCTATATCTTCAGATTATGAATATTAACAGATAATTATAACATACTGTGGCATTTGTATTAATAGTAGCTTTCACACCATACTTAGGGACAAATCCTGGTTTCTTTGATGATTTTTCTCAGTTATGTGAAGTACCTAACATATTGTCATTAATGAAAGTTATTTTAGGCATAAGGACATATATTTGATTTTAGAAAAAATATCCTTTTAGCTTCTCTAAGATTGATATATAGGACTTATAGTCAAACTTAAGTTCTTTGTATGATATTAGTATGATTATATTTTTCATTTTGTTTGGAGCTGCATAGGTATGGTACTAATACATAAAACAAATGCATGTTTTATTTAGTGCCAGGATTTTGAGCTAGAGTATTTCATTGGTGGATATATCAGAGAAAAATTAGAAAATATAATGCATTACATTAACTTGATGGGCAAGTCTTTTAAAAAATTACAGTTGGAAGTGTTTACATAGACATTATAGACTTTGATTGAGAGGTATAACATGAACCTAAAATTCCATTTATATTTTCATGAAAATTTTTAGTTGAATGTAAAGTTGATTAGAACTCTGTATTACAGAATCATCAGTATGCTAATACTTAGTCTGTAGAAATGCATAATCAAGAAAATATATAAAACAAAACTGGTAATTTTGCAGCACTGGTAGAGAATTTTAGATTGAAGATTATGCTAAAAATGAACATTTTCTTCCCATAAAAATGTGACGTATAGATAAAAATGTTGATTTGCAATAAAGCAACACTGTTGGTTCTTCTATCTATGAGGCACACTATCCAATCAAGTTTTGAAGAGATCAGCATCTTTTGCAGGAAATTAGTAAATTAAGTTGCTAAATCATCTTAGACTCAATATAAAAGTTTCAAAAGAATTAATATTCAACTTTCCATAGAGTTGAGAGATTTAGGCTTGACACGGGTATTATCCCTCAGTACAAAAATTAATTACAGATAATTCATAAATTTCTTAAATTATCTATTAACAATGTGACCATCCATTTCTTCAACTAAGAATTACTATTTGGTCTTGAGACCACACAACAGAAGAATTTTTACATATCTACTATACACAGCAGGCCATTAGTAAAGTTATAGCCTAAGGTAACAATTGCTTTTCATTAAAAATACTCTTGAAAATTCCTTAAATCACTCATATAGTATGGTGCACATAGTTTTGGGTATATAACCTAAACATTTGGGATATGATTTATGGTATCCTAAGTTATGAGAGCAAATGAGAATGAGAAGTATAGTTTAACTAACATAAATTAAGTATTTATGTGGCACCATTGCTTGGTGTTGAGTTAAAATGAATAAGTGACATTGACAGGGTTTGAGCAAGTCCATGGAAAAATAAAAGGTAGCTTGTCATTAACACTTCATTTCAGGAAATAACTAGAATGTCAGTTGAATTTGTGGTGTGGAACTGTTTCTTTTAGGTCCAGAGGAGGCCAAAACCACTGTAGGAAAAATACTGAAGGATTCAGACAAACTTAGAGGTGCTCTCTCAGTTCAGGGTGGAGGTTGTCGTGGTACCATGACCTTGAAGGAAATGAAATATTTCAAACTCCAGAATGTAGTACTATGGAAGGGCACTTAAAACCACTCTTATAAAGTTATGTATCATGGGTTATGTGGGTAGAGGAAGACTGTCTTGGACTTAGCAGGCATACCAAACCTAGATTTACAATTTCTGCGAGTTAACACAGATTCTTTTATCATAGGACATATAAAAATGCCTCAATGCACCCAATTCCCTTCTCTGCAGTCCACTATAGCTGCTTTCCCACACTCTGGATAGCAACTTAGGAGTTGACAGCATGATTAGCCATTTCCAAAAGGAAGAGATCCAAACAAATAGATTTTTAAGTCCTAGGTCATTTCAGATCTTTATTGTTCTCTTCGGTGAAACTTTATGAGAGAATGCAGTATATAATGCTTAGAAACTATATTTGACCACATCATATCCTTTCTTCACCTCCTCCCCCCGCCCCACCAGAACACTTCAGTGTCCAAGGTGCCTCAAGACCTTGGAAACACATCTATATATTACTTCCCTCTTCATATCAAGGACCACGGGGTTCTGATCATGTATTCCATGTGCATGTTCTCCTAGCCTCTGGTCAGTTTGAATTTTGACCAGAAAAGGCTCCCAAATCCAGTCATTTTTAATTGTGTGTTTAAATTTATGTGAAATATCAATAATCAGGCATTTTTCTTCCTTTGATCTTAGCACTGTATTAGACTTGTGTACACTTCAGCCACCAAGCCTAACTATGTTTATCACCTTAACTACATTCCAAAACCTAAATGTGTGAGTCAGATGACTATCACTTGATCTACTAATACATGTCAGGTTTCTTCAGGAGAAACTAGTATACAGAATTTAAGAATAAAGTCCCTTTGGGGCACCTGACTTACTCAGTCACTGGAGCATGCAACTTTTGACTTTGGGTTGTGAGTTCAAGCTCCACACTAGGTGTAGAGATTACTTTTATATAAAGGGTAGGGGGGAGTCCCTTTGAATTCATTGGCTATATACTATTAATTAGAAGAGTACTTGGGGACAATTGACAAGTTAGAAAAGTGGCATGGCTTTTGGGATTCAGTTACATACTTTGTAATTGAAGTTACTGGGGGAAAATATCTATAGGCCCGAACAATAGGTCTGATATCAATGAGGTGTGTCTAGAACACAGACTGCATGACATGTATGACCATATATTTCAATCAGTGAAGGCGGTCATCATATTCATAATCATATCATTCCAGAAGAACTATTACCAGCACTTCTTTTCACTCGCTCAATTTGGGTAAAAAATTATAAGATGACAACTCAAATTACAGACAATGCTGACTGAATAAATTCAAAATAATTCTAATACGATACTAATAAAAGACAAGCTACAAAAGATAATTGTAGCACATACAAGTAACAAGATAGGAGTAGCAAAAAATAAATAACTCTAAAAATGAAAAACAAGACAAAGAACTTTATAGAACAGTGAACAGAAAAAAATGGGCAAAAAGATCTAAGTAAGCATCAAAAAATGCCCACAAATGATTTATAAATGTATCAAAAGATGTTTCGTCTCTTAGTATAATGGAAGTAGTATAATGGAATTTTAATTAGAATCACAATGAGATAATCTTGGACACATGCCAGGTTGACCAAAGAAGAGGAAAATTATTATTCTGGTAATGGTAATCATATGAAGCAATGGAAACTCTCCATACACTGTTGGTATGAATGTAAAACTTGGGGGAAGTGTTGTGCATTTATCTGGAAGATTAAACATGAGAAAATGCTTTGACCTAGTAATTTCACTTCTACGAAAATTCTTGAACATGTGCACAGGAGACATGTGTAGGAATGTTCATAGTAGGATCATTTATAACAGCACAAAATCAGACATGACCTAATGTCCATTGACAGGAGGATGGATATTTAATTATTAGAATGTATATATAGTGGAATACTGTACAACAGTTAAAATTAATCAACCACAGCTACTCATGTCTACATGGCTTCTATAAAAAGGTAAACAACAATTTTGAAGCAGGGCCAAAACTGAACACTAGTTAGGGGTACTCCATAGGTAGGGGCTAGAGCAGAGGTTTAGGAAGACACAGAAGCAAAGCAAAGAAGTGGTTTAACTGGCTATAACTTAAGTGTTTGTCTTGTTTGGCAAAATTTAGTTATTTGGATGTCAGGATAATTGCTCTTGAGTTTTAGTTTCTCAGATTCCAGAAAAATCTAGATGAGTCTGGCTTTGGTTTGTTTCTATATAGCACCAAAATCACTAGAGCTACCCCAGTCTAAAAGCCTCTTTTTTAAAAAAATGTTAAATGTTTTTATTTATTATTGAGACAGAGAGAAACAGAGCATGGGTGGGGGAGGGGCAGAGAGAGAGGGAGACACAGAATCCGAAACAGGCTTCAGGTTCTGACCTGTCAACACAGAGCCCAATATGGGGCTCGAACCCACTAACTACGAGATCATGACCTGATCCCAAGTCGGATGCTTAACCCAGGAACCACAAGATCATGACCTAAGCCGAAGTCTAATGCTTAACCAACTGAGCCACTCAGGTGCCCCTCTAAAAGCCTCTTTATTTGACTATTTTAACACTGCAACTCAACATGATGTTTTGAAAGAAACAAATCACAAGAATTAAACAATATAAATCAATATTTATATAATTATCTCACTAAACAATATAGTTCAATCTATACAAAGTGGTCTTATCTTTGTTTAGAGATAAGTACATGTAATAAACAGCTGTAATAATAAATAAGAAAATGATTAATATAAAATTTAGGACAATAATAATTCTGAGATGAAGGGAAAAGTGTGAGGTAGTGGAAAGAGAAAGAGGTTTCAAAGGCCTTGGTGATATTTTATTTCTTAAGCTTGCAGGGTTTTACAAAGGTGTACATTTTTATTACCATTCATTAAAATGTGCACATATGTTATATGCCTTTGTGCTTTTAATTTATATAACATTTTTCATAATTAGGTTAAAAATAAAAGAGTGAGATGATAGAATTGGTGACACTCACTGTCGCAGCTCCCTGGAGGCTGTGATGGACCACAGAGAGAGAAGGCCGGGGTGGGAGATATATAGCAGTGAAGGATGTGGTTGTCTGCAGTTACAAAGAGTGACATATTATGTTTCTGAGCTGATGTGAAAGTATCACTGAAGTGGAAAACTGATGAGGTAGCAGATAGAAGAAATATTTGCAAGAAAAAAGGCCTTGGCTTGGCAAAAGAAGATGGGAGGCAAGATGAACTGGTATTCAATAGAGGCAGAGACCCATCATCCTTTGGGATTGAAAGGAAAACAAATGGTGCAGTTATGTGCTGGTGAGGTGGTGAAAACAGGAGGTAGTGTAGTCTGCTTTTATTTTCTCCATGAATTTCTCAACAGCAGCTCGCCTCTACACTGCAGGATATTGGGAATTTGAGGAGGGGAGAGAATGCTTGAGGCAGCTGTCTACAATGAGAAATCAATTTCCCTGGGTCTGTGCTGGTATTGCTGGTCAGTACTGAGCACTCCTCTTAACTACTGAAATGAGACAACTCAAGTGAGACCTGTGACAGGAGGAAGACCTTCCTCTGGTTTGGATGGCTGCTCAGGTGGCAGGCATAAAGTAGTTTTATGTTTTGGGGGTGTCATGGCCTGAATTGTGTCTCCCCAAAAGGATATACAAAAGTCCTAAGTCGGTACCTATGAATGCGATTAGAATTAGAATGAGGTCATACTTATTGGATTAGAGTGAACCCTGATTCCAGTGACTGGTGCCTTTAGAAGGAGAGGGAGATTTGGAGACACACAAATTCAAACAGAGGGAAGAGAATCATATGAATAGAAAAGGAGAAATTGGGGTGAGGCAGCTATAAACCAGTAAATTCCAAGGATTGCCAACAACCACCAGAAGCTAGGGAGAGGCAAGGAAGGATTCTTTCCATGAGAGTTCTGAGATAGTTTCAGAATACAGCTCTGACAACACCTGAATTTTAGACTTCTTGCCTCAAGAACTGTGAAAGAATACATTTCTGATGTTTTTAATAACCCAACAGTTTAAAAGCAACCTGGGAAACTACTACAACTGATAACTATAAATGCAGATCACTAAGTGAATAATTTAACCATGGCTCATTTAAATATTGATTGGTTAGCCTAAAAGTGAGGACATGAACAGGAGCAGTGAGAAAGGGGTAAGATCAAAAGAATGAAAGTATTGATAGAGTCAGATACTATTTGGAAAATGTTCTTTTTTAAATTTTTAATGTTTATTTTTGAGGAAGAGAGAGAGAGAAAGAGAGAGAGATAACAGGGGAAGGGCAGAGAGAAGGAGACACAGAATCTGAAGCAGTCCCCAGTCTCTGAACTGTTGGTTCATGGACTGTGAAATCATGTTCTGTGCTGAAGTCAGATGCTTAACTGACTGAGCCAACCAGTTGACCCTATTTGGAAAAGATTCTTTAGTAAATGAGCTATACAATTAAGAATGGTGCCAGAGAATAGGATTTGGAGGATCAAACTTTTGTAAAGGAAAAGTCCAAGAATATTTTGGTAGATGGCAGTGATCAGAGAAGTTGATCTAGTTTTTAGAAATGAAGAGGTCGAGGAAATGAGAGATAAAGCCAGCATATGAACTGTGTGTGTGAGACTCCCAATCCTGGTTAAATATTAGAATATCTTGGGAAACTTACAAATATATGAATACCCATGTGTCTTTTCAGACTCATTAACCCAGAATGTCAAAGATTTCAAAACTCTGTAGTTCACTCTAGACCTACTACATCTGGTTCTCATAGACTTATAATAGTCCCCCCCCCAACTTATTCTAATGCTCAACCATGATTGAGAGTGGTTCTTAATGAAATATCACAGTAGTACAGGAAAGGATGACAACTATGTGCAAAAATACTCAACGAGGGATGGTACAAAAGTATATGGTCAATTAATGACTATAAAAGGGAGGATAAAGCCAGGCATGTCTTGATAGTGTACCCTTCAAAGGAAATAGAATTTAGAGGGAGCAAGGAGATAATAACCATTGAGAAATAATAAGTAAAGAGAATATACCTCACTTCAAGACACTTTGGTATGTAGGGATTGGGAAAGCAGACATTCCCCATTTTAGAAGCCTGCTTGCAGGGTTGCAGAGTCTTTAGGGAGCTAGGGGGTGGTTAAAAGAAAAAGCAAAGCTTATGTTCTGAATAGAGGCTGAAGATACCAGTGCATGTACTGTAGTGGAGAGTTGGAAGGACTTTGGTAAGGGTCTGTTTTTTAGGGAAAATGTGAACTCTCTTTTCTGCTGGAAGCCTAGACACATGGTGGTAACTGAGGTAAACATGATGAGGATCACAGAAGAATTTGTCTTGATGTTCTCTTAGGGGAAATTTGGTAATCAGTTTCCAAACTATGGTCTGGACCAAAGGCATAGGCATCACCTGGAAAATGATTAGAAATGTAAGTTCTCTATTGTTTCTCTGCCTTTTGTCTAAGATCAAGTGTAGAAATGTAAATTCTCAGGACATGCCTTAGACTCATTGAATCAAACCATCTGGGCTCAGTGTGTGTGTTTTAACAGCCCATGGGGTGGGTCTGATGCATGCTGAAATTTGAGAACCACTGGTGTGGTCTGGAAGGTATATAACAGCCAGGGGTCTGCGTACCCCAGGAGCTCAGGGTGTTAAGACAACCTGGAAGAGAATAGTTACATGACTTCTTGCCTAGGCTCAAATTGTAAAACTTGTGGTATCTACCAAATAATACAGCAGAATTAAAGCCTGAACTTGGTGTGGAGGCCTCTTCTGACATCTGATCTTTCTTATAGCCCAAGGTCTATGGCATAAGGAGGGAGGGTAAGGGGGCATGAAGAGTCCTGTTGTGTGGTTATTCCTAGAGCTCAGCCACTGAGTGTATATGAGTGAGGAAGATACATTCATATACTAATGAGAATAAAATTAAACATGAAAATACAGATGGCCAAGGAGAACAGCATCAAAAAATAAGCAGTTAATAAAATGAGTAAATAAAGATTTGTAAATATTCACCAGTTCATTGTTATTTTTGTTATTTTCCTATGGACTAGAGAAAACTCTTTCAATTAGCTTTGATTTGAGGTCCAAAATTTTGTGCTAGGACCAGCATTTCGAATTATGACTTCAAGGCAGTTCTCTTATATTCCACAGCAGATATTCAGAGAAACTACAAGAGGCCACTTTGGCATTAAAAAATTTTCTCTCTCCAAGCAATATTCAAATGGAATTTTCTATAATAATACAGCTAGTCTTTTATAATATAAAGCTAATTGATTGAGGTCAAATACTGCTTGCCATCCCCATAATTAAAGGCTAAGCAAAGAAGTTCTCTTCCAAACAACTCATACATCATTGTAGATTTGAATATAAACTAATTAGTATTCCAGCCCATTTTGTGAAATAAGCCACCTTGCTTTATGGCCACTACTTACATAGGCATTAAAATTTAATACCGCAAAGCAGTATATGGGAGAGATAAGAGAGTTCATTGCTTTAAAAATATGTAAGTACTTTATAGAGTGGCTCTTCTCTGCTGCTTGCTTTGCTCTCAGGCGCCACATATATTTTCTCTTTTGGGCACTTTTAGTCTTGTTTCACTTATAATACCATAAGATATCGACCTGGCATTCCTGATATCCATTTCTCATTCTTTAATATCTGAATTTGCAGAAACTGAACGAGCCAAAGAGGCTGGTGCTGCCTCAACTAAAAAAGGTAAATGCAGCTTGAAGAAAAAGAGGTCATGGTTATAGCTTATTTCTGCTAAGGTTCCTAACTTAATGTATTGTTCAGTGCTTATAGGAGAGATCTATTTATTGATTTTACTATTTCATTGATACAGAAACAAACCCATTTGCACAAGATTTATGGTATCCATGTTAACAAGGCTTTGTCTTCAGTGTTCTAATACCAATGGTTTCACTTCTTTAATGTCATTAACTGGAATGAGTAATTATAGTCCGTTTGCAAGTTAGTTTTTGAAAAATTGAAGAAATGCTGCTATTCAAGCTCAACAGGATCCCAATCATCTGGAGAGCATTCAAATTCAATATACTGCCTTAGGAAAACAGGGCTTGAACAAATGAAAATTGGACAAGTAGGGGTAACATGGACAATGTTCCCTTTGTGCTTTCATAATATTAAATTAGAAAATGTGCTCCTTGAAATTCTCACTTGGGAATATTTATCTTTAAAAAATATTGGGAAGTTAGGATTTTAAGTTTTCAACGTTATTTCTCTTGTCATATCTAATCAGAGGCCTACACATATGAATATCAATGCCTTTTAGGAGACATTTCAATAATACTTTTAAAAACATTAATATACATTAAAAGTAATCATCCTGATGAAAAGTGTTACATATTCCCTATGCAAAATAGGTTGGAACAATTATAAAATTTGTGATTCTCTTTTACAAATAGACAGAAATTAAATCAGCTAATATATCCATTGTTTTCAGAAGTATCTCAAGAGACAATTAAACAACTTTATACTTAACATACACTCACACGCACACACACACACAAACCTACACACATACCATTTCATACATATTTCACTAAAACAACATAATATTTTTCTCCTAAAAAATTCTCTATTGCCCATGCTTTATAAAGAGAATATGTATAACACATATCCAAATTCTCAATACCAAGCAATTTATGTATGTATATATGAATATAAATGAATACATGGATATAAATTAATACAGTATAAAAATGTATATTAGTTTAAAAATTATAATATAAATTACTATATTTCATTAGTAATTAATGTATAACTTAGTATACATACAAATGTCTAAGGTTAGACAAAAATCAGATAAAGAATACTTAAAGAAAAAAATAGAAATTTTTGTAAGGTAATAATTAGAAGCTAGAATTGCTGAAATTAATGGATGTCCTCTCTTAAATACAGTTCTATTTATTATTCTAAATCTACCATGCATAGGAATAAAATGTGTTTCCTAATTATATCTTTTTCTAATAATGTAAGTCATTTTTGATGAGTGATTGTAGTATCTTTAGCTCAGTAGCAACGTGCCCTAAGTGATAGTGTCATAAATCATCAAAGTCCACATTAAGGTATCTCATTCTTTTGTGGTGTCTTATTTTCAAATCAGTGTTCCTTATTGGCATTAAGTGGAATGTAGGTAAAACTTGGTTGTTTTCAGAAAGTATAATGCCATGGTATCATGAAAAGGCTAAAGGTCTACTGATTCAGAAAAAAGTGATTAATCTAGGGAAGGATACAAGTGTACATGGGCCCACTAAGTGAATATGAAGCCAGGATATGATATGTGCTAAAAGCAAGAACAAAAGTGAGGCAAAGTTGTGGTTCAAAATTGGTAGCCAAGAGTGAGGCCAGTGGGGTGTCCATGTAGTAGTGTTTGGGTTTCACATATTGAACCTTTGGAAATTTCTCATTATGAAAGGCCGTCAGAGAGAGAGTTAAGAAGGAAAGACTTGGGGCACCTGGGTGGCTCAGTCAGAAGTGTCCGACTTCAGCTCAGTTCATGATTTCAGAGTTGATGGGTTTGAGCTCCACGTCAGGCTCTGTGCTGAGTCTTCTTCAGAATCTGTGTCTCCCACTTTCTCTACCCTTCCTCCTCTCATGCTCTGTCTCTCCAAAACAAATTAAAATGTTTTTAAAAATAATAAAATATTTTAAAAAAGAAGTAAAGAATCAACTACTTGGGGGCTAAGCCCTGCACAGACTTTCAATCACTTGGAGCCTGGATATTTAGGATAGAAATACAAGCACACATAAATCAAACTGTAGTGAGCAAAGATACTGAATTGGGACTGAAATATCACTTAGTGAACTCACTGGGATCTTCAACCAAGAATGGTCTCTGAGTTTATAGTAGGGTCAAACATTTCAGTTGGGGTTAAGTAGAGCTGGTGGCTAGACTTAGAGTGAAATGAAAAAAAGAGGATTAATCTTTTTATGAAAATAACTATTGGCACCAATTACTTTGCTTCTAGTTAATCTTAGGTCTCATACCTTAATTCTTAACTTAAATATGATTCTGCATATTGGGTTTGCCTACAAGCACAGAACAGAAACAAGCGATCCTCCCAAAACTGTCATAAATAAATGGAAATTCAGGTAGCATGTTACCAATTTAACAAGTTACAAGAAAAAGTCAAAAGATACTTCATTCATTTGTCAAGTAGTTTTTCTGGCCCCTACACCCTCACTGACAATCAGCCCCACATAACAATAGATACTGCCTCATCATGGACTTAGCCCTTAATTTCCATAACACTTAGTATATTTTACAAGATATTCAATTTCTAGTCTTTTCAAAAATAAGTAGAATAAGAAAATTATGCAGGGATATTTTTGTTTTCAAAACATTGAAAATTGTTCTTCTACATTGAGATTTGAACTAGGAACTATGTATGTAATGTTAGGTGGAAATTAAATTTTGCAATTGTAAATTTTCAGTTAAAAAAGTTCAATATTTTAAATTAATTGCAATGAGCCAATTTATAGATCTAGTATGAATTCTTTGATATTAAGCCTACTTTTAGTCATATTTTCTTTGGAATATATATATTTAGTCATCAATATATCATCTTATTAATTTAAATTTGTTTTTCAACATTCAAGTCATTTTATTTTCATTTGACACATATTTATGGTTCACGTGCTATATACAAAATTGAGGGGAAATGTAGATGTTAATCTTATTATTGAGCAATTTAACATACTGAAAAGTAGCAATTTAAGTTGTTTAGACTTCAATTTTTGCTATCACCTAAGAGCTTTCTATGCAATTATAGCTCCCGGTTGAAAGCCAACAGGGTAAAGAAATGAATACGGATAGATTTCCATAGGAGTTTAAAAAATTATTTGTACCTGGGGAAAAGCAAAGATTTACTACATATGGTGACTTTAGAATTAGGTCTTAAATAACAGATAGAATTTTGTTGTGTAATCATTAGTTAGAAGTATACATTGGGTACAGGTAACAGAGCAAGCCAAAGTGGAATGGCATATGAGGAATGGCAAGAGTCTCACAAACATGGCATAAATACATACAGCCTGGGATAATTATGCTGTAAAGGGGATTGATTTTAAAATTGACTCTATTCCATGAGCAACATGGAGTTAATGAAAATTTTAAGTTTAGGAATGTTAATTCAGACATTTGCTTTAGGAGGAAGCAGGGTAGGAAGGACCCAATAATGTAGGTGATATGTATTCGGACATGATATTAATTATGAGATTGCAAAGGAAGAATATTAATAGAATTTGACAACCTACCAGCTTTGGGAGGGAAAAAAGGAAATGATTTAATGACATTAAGTTTTCAGACTGGGTGCAGAATATTGTTGATATTCTTATACAAATTAAGAAGGAAGTGAGAAGTAGTTTGAGGAGGAAAGGCAAGATAGACTATTAAAGTTGGTAGCACATGCAAGTGACTTCCCATAGGTGGTTCTGAATGTAAAACTAGAACTTCAGACAATGACAAGATTGCAGCTGTAGAGGTGGATGTCCTCTACATGAGGTAAATGGTGGAAACAGTAAGAGTCCAGGAGCTTGTCACGAAGAGATGGACTGGAGGAAGAACCAGGACTGTCGTGGAGTGTGAAGGTACATTTACATTTGAAGGAAGGAGTGCAAGGAAAGTCAAAGAAAACAAATACAAAAACAGAAAAATGTGACTAGAAAGATGAGGTTAAAGAAAAATAGATGTAATTATGTATAATATCATAGTCACCGCAGGAAAATAAACCATTTTAGTGACAAGGTGGAGGTCGCCAAGTCATTGCCAAGCAGATAATTAATAATGATACTTTAAATAATAGAATTTTGGGGGGACCTGGGTGGTTGTCATTTGAGCATCTGACTCCTGAATTCAGCTCAGATCTCATGATCAAGCCCTGGGTTGGACTCCATCCTGAGAATAGAGCCTGCCTAAGATTCTCTGTCTCTCCCTCTCTCTGTCTCTCTCTCTCTCCTCTCACCCACTCATGCATGCTCTTTCTTTTAAATAAAAATAATAAAATAGAATAAAATAAGTGGATTTTCAGGGGAATGGCACACTTGAAAGCTAAAGAAGGACAAATTGAGGGAAGAGGTAGTAAAACATACAGGCAATTATGCTGAAGAAAATGGCTTAGAATAAAAAGAGAAAGCATCTCCAGTTTTGTCCTCCTTAATCCATCATCCATGCATTATTGTGGTATCATCATCTTTCCCATTATTGATTTTGTTCCTCATTTTGGAAATAGTATTCTCAATTTCAAAACTCCTTTTTCTTGATTACTATTTCTCTCTCTGCCATTTTGTCTCCTCCACATTTTATCCAGTCTTCTGGATACTGGAATGCTAGCACCCCTTCTCAGCTCTCACAAGGATAAGGCTTCTGCCTCTACTGTGCCACTCATGTTATGGATAATGCTGATGATTTTATCATTGATAAACCAAAAGAGGATTCAGTACTCACATAATAGATTTCTCAGTTTTACTTAGCATTTTGTCTCTTCTCTAAGCTTCTTTTTTTTTTTTTTTTTGTCTCCTGGTTCCTACCATATCCTCTGACTTTTATTTCTGACTTGTGTTTTTATTTTCTTTGCTGACCCTTCAATTAATTATTGGTGTAGCCAGATTCCGTTATTAATCGCCTGAATTTTTCATTTTATACTGTCTCTTTGTGAGATATGTCCACTTTCAAGGTTGAAATTCTGCCTTATATCTTGAAGATTCCCTGTTGTATGTTGCCACTTCAGGACTTCTCTGTGAAAAGGATTTTTCCTTAAAATTTCAAACTTGTGTGTTCAAATGTCCGATAACCACCTTCAAATATAACCTGTTTTAAACTAAATTCCTCATTTCCCCTTCCCAACTTGCTTTTTACTACTATTGGTGAAAATACAATCCCCCTTCACTTCACTGGATAACAGGGGTATGATTTTTTTTTATCTTTCTTTACTTCACCTGATTATTTAAAGAATCTCCAAGTGCTGCTGATTTTATCTCCTAAATATTTCTTGGATATATTTCCTCCTATTCATAACTGTGACTTCCATCTTACTTTAAGCCTTCACTATCTTTTGCTTGAACCACAGTAATGAACTCACTACTGCCCTCAGGCTCTTTATTTTTATTTCACTAATATTCATCTGACCAGAATTTCCCCACAGTCATAGTAAGTTATTAAAGTCACAAAACTGAATAAGCCATTCAATTTAAAACTCTATTTTTCCAAGTTGTCCATGAAATAAAGTCCAACCTTGTTAATATGACCCAAGTCCCCTGAGACCTCACTCCTCTATCCCTTCTCAACTTCTATTCAGGGATGCCCTGCTTTGAGTGTTACAACAAATACCATATTGCTCATAGTTCCAAATTCAGGAATATGATATAAAATTCAAGAAAATGGTAGAAGGAAAGGATGGTTTTGTGAATATATTGATCAGTTAGTATCATCTGATAATTGATAAGAAGCTTCCCTCTCGTATCTCTCCACCATAACATATACCCAAGGAGCCTTATATCCAAGATGTAAGACTTTTTATTCCACAATTAATGACTTATTCCATTGTTTCAGTCAGTGACATCTCTAAGCAGTACCTTTAAAATCTAATCAATCCTTGGGCAGATAATATTGCATTCTTATTCCCTTGAAAATAATAGTTTATCATGTTAAGACTGTAGGTCTGTATCCCTGATGTAATGTATAAATGTCATGTGGAAATCTTTCAAACTATAAATACTTTCCTACCACTCTTCACTTTTACCAGGATTCTAACATACCCCATCTCCAAGTAAACTTCATTGACCATGTACAAGCCCTTACTGTTAATGGGAACACATCAGGGCTTTATGGGTGATTAAGGTCAAGAAAGGAGAAATTAAGTTACACTGGAAAAGTAGGTCCCTGAACAAAATTAAGGGAAGAATAATGAAGTAAAAGCCTGGAGCTACAGAAAACTAACTTCTGCATCTCAGGACTAGTTTAGCTCAGGACTATCCCTAGTCCAGGCATTACTTTCTAAAAGTGTTAGTTGCTTTGTTTCCTTTCTATTAGTTGGGCCCTCTGAAGAAGTGTAATATAAATCTACTTTCTCCCCCTAAAGTAAACCCTTCCAAATGTAGAGCAAAGAGAATTTCTCTCAGCACCAAAGGAGATTTCAGGTGCCCTGTAGCATAGAAAGGGAAATTGATTGAGGTCTTCTTTTGATTCCAGGAAGTTAGAAAATCCACTTACTTAGATGAACTATTTATTTCTAAAGTTTACTCTCCATAGGATTAGGCTTGTTGAATTTTACATCAGAAGTAGAAATGAAAGGATCATTATTTCATGCAAAATGTGTTATTTTCTGTACTGATAATCAATATTTTCAGTGACCTTTTCTAAGTAAAAAAAAAAACAAAAACAAAAAACAGTGCTCTAAATGGGACTATCCTCCTTTATTTAATATGAATGTAGAACCCATCATTGAAAGACCACTTGGTCTTTTTGTGTAAATCACAAACTGTTTACTTAAAGACATTTGCTTTTCAGAGGATTAAAATAAAAGAAGCTGAAAACTACATATTTGCTATAAAATTTTTAAAATGAGTCTTCTGAACAAAATAATTATGAATAAGACTATATACCCATGGACTTTATTATAATTACAAATTATCAGTGTTTCATTTCCACTAATGTACTACACATTTTACTAGCTCTTTAATGTAAAGTATGCATAGTAAATTCTGACTCTAGTTTGGAATTTAAGGCCTTCTATAATTGGCCCTATCTTCTATTTTTTCATTATTCCATATCTACTTTGGGGAACCCTCTGCTTCAGCTAACTTTGTTCACTTTCCTCTATGCATACCTAAGGCTTTTATGCTTCTCTGTCTTTCTTCACATCTTATTGGCTATACCTAAAATCATTCCTATTCCTGAAAAACCACTAATACTAAACCTTACCCATTTTCCTTCCCAACCCAGAACATTTCTTATTAAGACATATCATTTGTCAATTAGTACATTTAACCACTAAGCAAAGATATATTAATTACTTGTTATGCTAGAAACAATGCTAGATACTATAATAAATGTAAGCAATACATTTCTAAATATCCCATGTATCAAATAAAAAAATTACAGTAAAATTTGGAAATATGTTGATCTAATGTATGATGGAAGCATTACAGTGAAACATGGGATGCAGCTAAACAGTGTTAGAGTAAAACTTACACACTCTAAAAATATTCATTAGAAAAGTAGAAAATCTGAAAATCAAATATCCAGAGAGCCAATAATTTTTAATACAGAAAACTAAACCCAAAAATAGCTGAAGGAAGAAAAACAAAAAATTTAATAATAAAAGCTAATGAAGTAGTAAATTAAGTTGTACAAATAGGGAAAGCAAAACAGTAAAAGTTAGATTTTCCATAAAACCTAATAGAACTGATAGACTCTTATGAAAACTTATTTAGAAAAAAAGAGAAAGCACCAAACATCAATATCAGAAAATTAAAAGCAGGCATCATTATAGATCCTACAGAAAATTAAAAATAAGAACATTTTCCAATAAATGGATTCATATTTTGAATTCATAATTATAATTCTTTCCCAAAGAAATTTCTAGCCAGATAGCTTCACTGGTGAATTCTTTCAAGCATTTAAGGAAAAATTAACACTAATCTTACACTGAATCTTCCAGGAATCAAAAAAGAAAAAATATTCACTTATTATATAGAGCTAGAATAACCTATGATGCTAAAACCTAACATAGGTTTTGAAAAGAACATGTCCAGTTACACCATAGACATTTTTGATTGCTTTGATTATTTCCTCAGAATATTATTTGATATATTTTTATATACTGTATTTGATTAAGCCGAAAACTAAATCTTTGGCTTAACTGGATTCCAGCTAAATAGTTGGATGCTTTGGCAAGAACACTTCAGAGAGTATTATTATTTATACACATCGCACTACATATTATTAAGAAGTCAGAATGTCTGGATGTCCCATTATGAGTGGTTCTAAGTTTCCTCAGTGGTTTTGTTGGTGACAACCACAGTGCTTCATTACAAAGTTGAATTCCCCCCCCCCCTTGTAGCTCTGTGAAGTGATACTTGAGTATGATGGCAATATTCAGTCCTTCCCCTCCACTCCTCTTCATCAAACGGCTGCTAGTATCGTCTGAAGACCCTTACTTGAATCAATGATTTCAGTGGGGTATACTGATTTTGAATGAATAATATCTACTGTTTTCACGTATAAATAGGTAAATAGTGAGTACTCCACTGCGAGATGACTTTATTTAATATTTAAATGAATCTCAAGCATGACTACACTGTCCTTTCAGTTGATTAAGCTAAGTTAAGCTTGAATTTAAAGCAGCATCTAGTTGACATTTTCAAGACACTGAATGACTCCAGCAATAACCTGGATTGTAAATTGATTAATCATAGTCCTGTCAAGTAGAATTCCTTGTAGAGCTTGTTTATCAAAGTAGAGTATAAAAGGAGAAAATAGAAAAGGGTGTGGAAAAACTAGTCAGAAGGTAAGAAGTTATTTTTTTTCTCTAATTTTTTAACATTCAGTTTAAAATAGGTTTCAGTTGGTTTACAGAGAAATGAGAAGCTGAAAAAGCTTTAAAATAGCTTGTTTAGAAGAAAGAGTTGGCAACGAATGAGTTACAAAATGCTTCTCTGAGCAGAAGCAGCATTTCCATCTGGAACTTTTATTTAAACCTTATCTCTGCCTTGCAGCTGTACCTGGAAAGAAGGAAGAGAAAACAACCAAGACAGTGGAGCAAGGTAAAAAAAAATGAAGGAGGTTGACATTATCTTCTTTAGAGAGACAACAACATGAGGAGGAAAGCACTGGATTCAGACAGGAGGAAGACAATAACTGTTCTATCTATTGCTCGCTATCACTGTCCTTGCACGCTTTTCTGTTCCAGGAAGGATGTGAGGCAGCAATCTGGATTTTTGTTCTTTTGTATAACTAACTTTGAGTATAAATTCAGAGCAAGAAAACTCCACAGACTTCTTAATTAAATCAGGTAAAATGCTGAAGATGATTGGAAATAAGTCAGTGATCTGGGGTAACTGGTAGACAAATTTTTCTGATTGATTTGTGCTTTTACTACCTGACCGATCATAGTTTAAAGAATAAAGATGGCACAATTCTATTGATGCAAAAACAACATCTAATGCTCAAAAAATAGTATGTAGCACTTAAAGGGGGAAAAGCACCAAAAGTAAATTATTTGACTTTATATTGTGACTTCAGCAACTGATTCTCCCAAGAAGTCTAAAATTTTAATATTAAAAATCATAATGTTATAAGTAATGCATTTTATTTATGCAGCTATATAGTATATATATCACTCCAGAATTTGCCTGAGAAAAATGCAAGAGTAAAGTAGAGTGAAAACATTTAAAGTGATGTTGGGCTTTCTGTTAGAGCTTAGCGTGCTAATAATTTTAATTATGGTTCCCCCACTCTTTGGCTTTTCATCTATTATAATATTTATTAGTCATTGTAATAAAACAGAGCTAGCAATAATTTTGTCAGGGATGAAGTCAAAATAATTTTTCCTCTGAAATTTTGGAGTAATTAAATTCTTATTATCAAAAATTTATATTTTTGATATAAATATATCAAGAAAATTCTTCAATTTCTCACATTTTAGAGAAGTACATTAAAGTTAAGGATTCAACTAAGTTAAATGAAGGGTCAAACATTTATTTCCTTGGGCTTTTCAAAATAAAATTGGATTACCATTACACTGAAAAACTTTTCAGATTAATTTTGGCTTCTAGGGACTTCTGGAAATTTAAAAATTCAACAGAATGTTTCTATCAACTTCATTTGATGTGGATATTTCTGTCTCTGACATATAAAATAGAGGAATGGCACTACATTCAGTTTTAATTTGTTCATTTAGGCAAGGAAGGCCCTGATCCTAAATTTCTTCTGGGGGGTAGAAAAAAAGGAATGACTTATATTTGACCTGCCTATTGAACAAGATGTGGAGCTCAAATGAGAAAACATGGGAAAGGGTATGAAAAATGATAAATTCCTAGATAATTGCATAGTCCTTACATGAGCATATTTCCTTATCAAGTCAACTTTACTACAGGTGAGATAAACTATCAAACCACATCGATTTTACTCAGTTTCATAATTTTTTTTCTTCTAGCATAAAGGTGTTCATTGTTCATCTTTGGCATTTGTAGCTTTGGTTTTATAGCCAAAGCATATTAAGAGAAGATAGACTAGAATGCAAAATGCCCAACACTAATACTTGTACCTAAAAAATAAGTGATTTAAAAACAGATTGTTTATTTCGTCTTACCTGCATGTTGGTGTCAGTTTCATTAATTCTATAGTGTTTCCTAAAGTAGGTAGGAGACTATAAACGGTTCTTAGAGATGTGAACTTACTTCTTCAGATAATTTCATAATTCATTATTTTATGAAAAATGCCTTTTATCATATAAAATCTTAAGCTCTTAGCTTGTAAAAAAATGAGGTTCTTTCAATGGCTCTTTTTATATTGACTCAGTATATCATTTCAATTTAAATATTGTAAAGCAAAAGCCTCATATATTTCAACTATAAATACCTTAAAAATAGAGTATTTGGATAAATTTCATATTTTTGAGATGATATGTCTATGACTAATAATTGGTATGAAAAATACATTTTGTGATTTAAAAAATCAGAAGTTTATGTGAAATTAAGTAAATGATATTCTACATATTTCATGAGTATTCTAAAATTTATTCATAAGATGAGGCTTTAAATCTATTGTGTACTTCTCTTACTTATGCAGTTTTTAGTTATCTTTAGAAGTATAAGTAATCTAAGACTAATTTATAATGCATTGAAGTATGATTAAATAGTTTTTGAAGTTGTTTTTATTCATTTAAGTTTGTACTCGTGAACTTGTATTAGGGGAAAATATAATTTTCAAAATTTTTACTAGATTTAAAATACACTTGGCGATAAGTATAAAATTGTGTATATTCAACCTCTGTACTTAGTCTGAATTATAACTGTACTTAGGAAACATTGATTAAGCAAAACTTTATATTATGAGAAGTTCATAGAGTGAAAGGTGGAATGAATTGTATTTTAAAATAATTTAGTAAACTAGACCTCATATCACATAAGAAGTAGAAATTTAGTTAATCTAACTTCTGCAAAAGTCCAAAACTGTAACTCTATTTTATCTCTAACTCATGATGAATCATGCATTTTTTAGTTATTCTCTTTGTGAAGACCTTAAATTGGCTAAACTGGAATTTTGAGTATTAAGAAACAATTTATGAATAGTTTCTCTACCTTAAAGGTGCACACTTTTGCGCAGGTGTACACACACATACACCACCACCACCACCATCACCACCACCACCACCATTAACTATTTCTCCTTGTTTAGAAAGCAGTTATATAAATGCATCAAGAGATACAAATGTTTAACACAATAAATGTTGCTACCCTTATAGAGAAACCTAAGGAATGCCAAAGATAAAACCTTAGGACATTTCCCAAGTGCTTTGTGCCACCATATGAGGATACATCTTTAGATACTCTATATTACATCTAGAGAGAGTACATCATGTTTCATTAAGCTTAATTTATTCATTCGTTGATTTTCTTACAGATTCGTTAATTTCTTACAGTTAGTATACATTTTCCTCCTTGGTATTCACTTTCAAACATGACCTGCTTCCTAAATTCCATTTACATTTCTCTTTTTCAAACTTGCTTTCTTTCAGAAGAAAATCCTTAATAATATCTGTTTGCTACTAGACATATAAGCAAAACAGTCACTGCAAAGAAGAATCCAGTGGCTTGCCACTTCCTGGGGCAGGGAAGAACATCAATCAACACAACTCACTTAAAAAAAAAGACAATTAACTTTAAAGATCTGGACTCTAGATTGGAGCTGCAGCATCTCTCTATTTTTACTTGTCTTCCTTCAGGTGACTTAAATCCAATAGTGAAAAGGTAAAGGAAATAGTAATAAATTAAATCATTTGCAAATCATCTTTCCTTTTCTTTCATTCACATGTATGCATGATTTCACTTAAGGTCTTCTTTAAGAGTCTGTTCTGGAAGCCTGTAGCAGAGCTGGCATACAGTATATATTCAGTGATACCTGTGGGTTGAATGAAAACAGAGGGATTGTTGAAGAAAAGACTATTAGGTGATCCAGATTTCAAGGAACACGGCCTCTAAATACTGTGCAATTAAAAGAATATTTTATTTCATCAAAATATGATTTGCAATAGTGAAGTTTGCCATATTTCAGAAACCAGGACATAAGTGATTAAATTCTTCAGTTGTAAAGTGAAACTAGAAGAAAAAAATTAAGTATGCATTATTCATTAAGGACATCATATTGTTATGATCTTTGCCGATGGTGTTCTTACATAAAAAAAATTGCATGTGGTGAACAGTTATCATATGGATAAACATATTGAAAAATTAAATTGTAGTAATTGCAACTATTGTAAATTTCTTAAAAAAACTTGAAAGACATATTTAAACAGTTGCCCAATTAAGCAAAAATTGAGTCTAAGTATGAAACATTGCTTTCATTGCTTTTCTTAGTTTTACTACTGTGGAATTGAATTAGATGATCTCTTACTGCTTCCAAGTGGAAATTTTTTCTATTAAACAAAGTTTTTAAGCAGTGTTTCCTTATATCAGAATATAGAGGCTATTCCTTCTTTAGAGGAAGGCTAGTCTAGAAGGATTTCCAGTTCTAAGACTTTGAAATTCAAATGCTAAGGAGAAACACACTATAAACTTGAATACTTATAGATATTTCAGTATCCTAAAATTAAACTGAAAGTTTCACTACAGAAATATTAAGTATAATTTTCCATCCTCTTAACAATTAAAAATCACTTCAAAATCACTAAATAGAAACATGACAGAAAAATATGCACAGAAAAAGATTAAATAGAATTTAAGTGCCTTTTAAGCACAAGAATAAATCTGAACACAATTAGTAATCATTTTATTCAGGATAAAACTGGGGCATGTGGTTCATAAATGTATCCAATGCAGTTCAATTCCTATGATAAAAAATTCCATCTTGCCTTAAATTAAGAAATGTTTCTAAACTCACAAACAAGCTAATTTATGTTCTCCTGAAGAGTTTCTGCCTTTCTTTGCCTTTGATTCTATTTTGTAAACAATGGTGTCCTACATAATTGTATTAGTGTTTTAAGTTGTCATAACAGCAGGTGAAACCCCAATGCTATTATATACTTTGTGTTTTTGTCATATCTCTTCTCACCTTTTCAGATTATTCTATTCTTTGTATGTGCACTGGTCTACCTAGAATATGTGATGTGTACTTATTATAGATTTATCCCGTATTTTGAAGTGAATGTTAACAAGAGTAATGATTTTCTGACAGAAAATTATTTATTTAAATCATTAATGTTTATATTTTATGATATGTTAACATTATTTTTAAAAGATCAATTTTATATTTAAGATCAATGGAGTAAAATTGAAAGTTTAGTTAATACAAGCTGTATTTAAGTATTTGCTTACTATGTGATTATGAAATAACCTATTTGCACATGTGGACTAAGTCATGCTGTTGACCCTCAATAAATGTTAAATGATAACAATTCTATTGATTCCTGTGAATTCCAAACTTTTTGACAACAGTCTGTGCTTTGATTGTTTAATATTTATTGAGCGCCCACAACAGACTAGGCGCTGGGGAATGGGAGTGAGGAGCATGAAGTGGGCTTCAGAGAGAAGATGGTTTATGTGTG